TTATATAGATTAATATAGATTTTTTTAACAATAGAACATTATGATGGTATTTTTGTTTTTATATCAATAAATTATTTACATAAATAAATAATAAATTCTACAATACTGCAACATCTCCTTCGTGTAATAATAAGATTTGCATCAAATTTCCATATAACTAACACATCTACTTATCTATATAACTAAAAAAATTTGTTTGACGTTTGGATTAGTCTCCGTGTAAATAATTTGAATTGTGTAACTTGAAAGTTGAAATCCCGCCTGAACTATTTATGATCAAGAACTATTCGATTCCAATCAACTAAATCCAATTTTTTTTGATTATTATCTGATTTTTTTTTCAAATATTTTTAACTCCTTTTTTTTAAAAAAATTTTTCTCCCTTTTTTTTCAACCCGAAAAATTTTTTTTTCTCATTCTTTTCCCCAAACTTAAATTATATTTTTTTTTATTAAAAATAATCCTCATTGTTTTGGTCTTTTAAGACCAATTTTATTTATTTTTTTTTCGATCTTTTTTTTTAGACCGTATTGTTATTTTTTTCACTCTTTTGGATCGGATTATTGTCCTTTTTTTCAGAATTTTTTTTGTACTTATTTTTTTCGGATTCCTTTTTTCCGGAAGTTTCCCCTTTTTCTTCCCCCAAATTTTTTTTAAATTTTTTTTTCTTTTTCTTTCAATTTTTTATTATTATTAAATAAAAAATAAAATATTATATATTAAATATATTTACAAAATTATTATTATTTTAAAAAAATCACCACAACATATCAAATATAGGAAAATTGACCAACGTTAATAGAAAGATGAGTAAGGTTTTTTTCAATTAAATTGAACGCTGGATAAATAGTTTGATTTTTCAAATTCATAAAAATCAATTTTAAAATTAATTTATGTAAAATATCAATTTTTTTTGAAGAAATTGTTGATTTGATAATAGATTATTATAACCAAATCCATATCCGAAATTCTCTAAATAACTACCAGATTTTTGAATAAAGATTTTAATTCTGATTTAGTTAAATTAAGTACCAAAAGAATAATAATAAATGAAATGAATAGATTCTATAAATGCATTTAATCATTCAAATATTCTTTTTAAGTTGGTTATAGTAAGTTTAAGATTGACGTAATATAAAATAAAAAAAATTCATCAAAAAAATGAGAGTGAATGAAAAAATAAGGAGGGTAAAAGGAATAAAAACAATGAAGGGGGAGTGAGGGAGAAACGAAATGGAGCAAAGGGGAGTGAAAGAAACAAAAGGAACGAAAAAGATCAAGTGAGAATGAAAAAAATGAAAAGAATGGAGGGGCACGAAATGGAGCAAAGAGAATAAAAAAATGAAAGGAACAAAGGGTAGTGTAAAGAGAAGTGGGAATGGAAAAAAAATGAAAATGACAAAGGATAGTGTAAAGGAATGAAAAAGATGAAGTGGGAATGGAATAAAAATGAAAGAAACAAAGGGTATTGTAAAAGAATGAAAAAGACGAAGGAACTAAGAGGAAATAAAAAACAATGGAAAAAATGAAGGAAGGGAAGAATAAAAAGAGCAAAAAAGATGAAAAGACAAAAAGAAAACAAAAAAATAGAGAAGGGACGAAATGAGATAAACAGGGGACCAAGTAAAAACAAAACCCATAAAACTAAAAGAAATAAAGTTAGTAGGGAATGGAAATTACATGTAATAAATAAACAAAAACAAAAAAATAAAAAACATACTTTAGTAGTTACAAAGAAGAACCGAAAGACCTAAAAAGAATGAATTCAAAATATAAAATGATCAGCTCATTAATTAGCCAATAAAATTTATAGGTTCATCAATCACCCTAGGTGAAAAATTATTAAATCGCAAACGTCAAATCATTATTAATATAAGCTATATTATAGTAAATATAATTTATACCATTCTAATATTATAAATATAATTTAAAAACAAAAAACTATTGAAAATTTTAATTAATTGAAGAGTGTGCCAACTTGACTCCTGATTCTTCCCTAGTTAACTTATAATGTTTTACTATCCTTTAATGTTACATCATAATTATTCATATTCGTTTCATAATAAAATGATCTACATCACGTGATCATCAAATACCTAATTTACTGTCATATCTACTATTTTTAATGATGGTAAAATTATGACACTGCACCAGAGTAAGATGACGTTTAAAAAAATCATCAGGAATAATTTATATAAAATTCTTTTTTATTAAAAATTTTTTGTGGAATGAAGGTGATTTTTTGATTTTTTTCATTTGTGCTAATTTTTTTTTTTTTTAGGTTTTATCTTCATTTTGACTTAAATATGCATGGGAATTTAATTATTTCAATAGGTACATTTTTTCAATATATTTATTTATTTTTAACAAAAGTAATAAAGTACAAAACAACACTAACATTTTTTTTTTAAAATGATGGATATTATTTCAGATCTATAGGGAACTAGCTCTGAAGTTTAAGCATTGATCCCTTAGGTAAAGTTTTTGAAAGAATTCAAAAGTTTTTTAATAAATATATCAATTAACTTTCAGTTAATTTTGTAGGAAATCTGGCCTCTTCTAGATACCAGAATCTAAAGGAAGCATAATATTAAATTGAATATTAGTAAGTTTCAAAACAATTTTGAGACCAATTTTTACTTTTTCTAAAACGTGTTAATAACTTTTTTTTATTCATCATTATTTATAAGAAACCAGCTTTGAAGTTCAAACCTGGATAGTTTTCAAAATTTTGTAAGAATCTGGCCCTTCATGATACCAGAATCAACTATTTTTGATAAGATATTTTTTACTTGTTATATTTATTTAAATTTTTTGCTGTTTTTTTATAGCTTAAACTTCAATGAGAAATGGTTATTTATAATAATAATATTCATTTATATGGAATTATGAAGATTAAAGAATGAATATAGGTTTTAAAATAATTTTGAAGCTAAATTTAAAAAGATGTTTTAATAACATTTTTTGTTCATCACTTTCATAAAATACCAGCTCTGTCTTTGTTACTGGAACTCTGAAAGTGCATTTTCAGAGTACTTTAAAACTTTCTTTTAAAAAGCATTTTAAAACCTTTACATGGGAATAACAGATTCTAGTAAGTTTCAAAAATTTTGAAAAATCATTAATAGAGTTAAGAGAGCATTGAACATTATAGGATACTGTATTAATAGAATATCTATGATTAGACTTAGACTTGAGCATTTTAATAATTTTTCAACTTTTTAAAATAAATAGACTATAGCATTACTACAACTTTAATATTTGTTTATTATAACTTAAACATGTATTTAATATAGTTTAAATATACATTTACTATATGTTTTCGATTCCAATACAATTTTTGTATGATCTGCTGGATAAACCAGGTGATGATTATTGATTTCCTTAACTTTATATCTACAATCTGAATAAACTTATAAATCAAGATTTGGTCACGATATTAAATCTTTATGGTAAGTTCTATAGTAAAGTATTGATATAGTCACGATATAGTTTCGATTTTAAAAGTTTCTGCAAAGTTATTAAAATTTATTTTCATTATAACTTATTAAGAAATTTGTTTTTTGTTAAAAATTATTAACAGTTAAGAAATTCGTATTATTATCAAACAAGATGATCTATTAAATGAGATGAGAAGGATGTGGGGTTTATGCAATTTTTACATGAAAATTCAAGAATTTTAAACGGGATAACTAAAGTATGGGAATTAATTCATGGGATTGTTAATACGAATTTGTACAAATTACCTGTTAAAAGGGAATTAACCAGAACAATTTGGGGATGGTGCTACGAAAATATTAAAAAATATTTTTGGAATGAACGTTGTAGAATGGCTATTGAAATATAAAAAGAGAATAATATAAAAACAGAGATAAGAGGAAACAAAGGGATAGTAGTGAAGAAAAATATAGATATAGACGATAAAATAGGAAAAGACAAAAAAAGGATGAAAATTATAATAATTACAAAAGAAAAATTAATAGTAAAAAAATAGAAAAATCATTTACGCTCGATAAAATGATGGAATATGTTATGGAAAATAGAAGTTAGCTTAGTTTATAGTTATAAATAAATTGCCAGACATCTGCCATTCATTTTAGAACTTCAGTATAAATAGTTAAATTATAAGAATTTTTTATGACAAACCATTTGAAAATCGAGTACAACTACATAAAAGTTTTAATCTCAAAATTTTTCTCACTAGTCATCTCACTCTTCGAATTGCCAACATTCACGTGACTTTTTAATGATAATTATTCTGCATATCAGATATAATTGAATAAAAAATTTTAATTTCTTTTGTAAATAGCGGGTAAGATGACTCTTTAGGTAACTTATATATTAGTATAGTCTTTTTCTTTGGGTAAAATTAGTATCTATTTTTTTATATTCCCCTCAGTTCTGTGTCCATATAAGAAAAATAGAACAAAATACCAAAAAAGAATTCAGGTGTGCGATTTGCGTCAATAGATAACTGACATTAGTAAATTATCATCTGACATGCGTTAATCATTACCTAATCTTGTAACACAAAAATATTTTTTTAAGCGTAAAATTAAAAACATAAAATATTATTAAAATTCTTAAGACACTTTTATGTTTAAAATCTTAAAATAAACGTTTAAAACCCTTGAAAAAGGTATTTTTAGAAGTGATTTTGTTAAATTCTTCTGTTTTATTATTTAAGAACATTTACTGATGTTTTCTTCCCTTTTTTTATAGATTTTAAACTTGGAGACTTGAATTTAATGTCTAGAATTATTGAAAAGGTATTTGAATATTTGAATTAACATTCAGATTTTTAGAAAAAGTGTTTTTGAGCGTTGAATTTTATTTTTTTTATAAGACAACCTTTGATTTTATATTTGCTGCATATTGTATTGTGATTAAGAAATGACATTTTGTAATATTTATTTCACAAATTCATCTAGTCATTACACTTATTTTTACATGGACGACCACTATGACAACTACTTCCACAATAACTTTCTATTTACATTTCAGACTATTACATTCACTTTACAATTACAAGTAGTACCTTTTCTTACAGAAATTTTGTTAGAAGGCAAATTGTTGAGTTCATGAAAAAACATTGTACCAAGTGTTTCAATAATTTTGAATTGTTCTACCTGATATTTATCTCCATTAACTCTTTTCCATAAATTTCTCCTGTTTTCTATAGGATTCATTTTTGATATTTCCATACTAAATTAATTTTATTGTGCTACAAATATATTACAATTTATTTATCATTAAATGGCCTAGGATCCGCGTACTACCTCCCTCTTTCTCCAGGTGAATAATAATATATTAATAATTCCAAATTTTGATCCTAAGAGATATTGATTATTTTCTGTCATCTTTATTATTTTACATGGAAGTTTAGGACAAACTGTACCAGAACGATCAATTTTTGGAATAGAAATTCTCAATAAATCTCCTACTTCATATTTATTTGGCCTTTTATTTTTTTTCTTCATTTGATTCGCCATTTTGTTTGTATAAATTTGAAGGTCCCGACATGCAGCCTCTCTTAAAATTTCATATGCTGTTGATGTAACTTCCTAACCAGCTCATAAAGCAGATCAGCAGAGTACTGTGAGGTTATGTCTAAGTTCTAAGTTGTGTTTAACCATTTTTAGTATAAGATCATAAAGGGGATTATTTTTATTACAAAAAAATTATCTTTTGTTTAACCTACAAATAAGTAATTATATGGCAAAATATAAATATATATGTTGAAACATACAGTGGTATATAGATAATAGGTTAATAGGAATAAGATTCATTATATATTAAACTAATAGCCAAAAAATCTTACAACATACCAATCCTTACTGCAAAGTAAAAAGCTAAAGAATGGAATCTAAAAATAAATAATATATAGTAAAATAGGTTAGAAGACTAAGTAAGCTTTGTAGAAAGACAGATTCAAGCCCCCATGCCTACTATTAACTGACATTAACGATATATCGTGAGTGATCAAACTCGTGCAGAGGTACTGTCACATTAATAATAAGACATGAGACCCACCACCAAAGGGAAAGGCCCCACATACAGAAGTCTGCGACATAGCTTGAGAAATTATATTTTTCTCATTTAAGGTAACCAGACTACTAGAAGAGGAGGATAACCGAAGCACTCTAGGTGCACAAATCCCTTATACATCCCAGCTTAGTCATTTCTACTTACCAGAATAATAAATATTTCAAGTTTGATGTTTATTTTGAACTTTTCTCTTCAAGACTATAACTAAAAGTTGCTTAGAAGTAAAGCTCATATTTTTTTTGATAATATGTTTCTAAATAGGGAGTTAATATCTTGACTAGGAGCTGAAATACTTGAAATATTTTTATGCTTGTAATAAAAAAAAAGTTTATATGTTATAATAAATATGAAAAAGAAGGAATGTTTATATAAAAAAAAAAAGTTTACGCGTTATAATAAATATTCAAATTTTAAAAAGTTACAAGTATTGAAGTGTGGGAAAAAGAATTTTTTAATATAAATATTTCGTGGGAAAAGTTGTTGTGAATCAGTTGAGTTTAAAACTGATAGTTGCGATCATAATCAACAGATTTGAGGTTCTGATGGATGATTATTTCTTTGTATGAGTCATTCGATCATTTCACATATATGTATCTATCTATGTTGACTTGTAATACGGATTATATTTACTTTGATTTTTTGATAATCATTATTATTTAATCTATTTATGTTTCACATTTTTCAGCAATGGGATCCGATATTCGGTCTTACTCGCACAGATTTTCTACATAAGCATAAATTTAAACATTTGCAATATTACAAGGTTTAATGTGATACAAGCCATTTTGAGGAACTAAGATAAAACAACTTAATCGATATACCAAAATTTTGAATTAATGGAATTAACGGATGATTTCTATTTGTCGAGGATGAGAACTGTTTTAATAGGGTAAAAAAAGATCAAATTACATTTTATTCATTGCAGCAAACTTAAAAAAGTCAAAACTTTTTGATTAAATTTGTTATGCATCCAATAGATTCTTTAACTTTTAATTATACTAGTTATAAAATTTAACTTTTTAATAAGGAAACTTAACGGTCCAGGTTAACTAACCAGGATAAGATCGCCTTTCAATATTTTCCTAGTAAAAATTCACATAATCAATGAAATTATTGGTATCAAAACAAATGAACAAAATATTAAGTTTGGTATAAAATTATATTTAATAATCAAATTTTATTATCTTCTAATGATGGTGGACAGCATTTTTTAAAGAAGGTTAAATCAGGATATTGACATTTAATTGAAATCATATTTAGGATCGATAGATAAGTTATTCTCAAAAAATCTCTAAATAATAAAATGCCAATAAATTTTCGTTAGAGACATGAAATAAATTTCTCTTAATGACGATTCCAATGAGCTTTGGTTCATCTTTCTATGATCATTGGATCATGATGAGTTATCCTTGAAAAAAATGTCTTAGCAGGTGTGTAGATTAAAAACAAATGTGGTTTATAAATTTATATTGAACGGCTAAAAAGCAATACCGATTTTCAATTTCGCTTACCAAATTCAGTAAATTTTTTTTGAACTGTTGTGCCATAATCACATTTTCTTAACACGTACTATAATCAAAAAACAAATTTACCTCAAATTCTTCTGTTATATAAAATCAAAATTCTTTTTCCATTCTGCTGCAATTCTAAGGCACATTGTCAAATGATATTTCAGAAGAATATCTTTCATGGTATTTTAATATATGATGTGATGGTATGATTTTATGACATTATTTTCGTTCAAGGCCAGGACTTAGTAGGTGAATTATTTACGCCACATGAGATAATTTCTGTATTAAATATAAATTGCAACTAAATAATTTAATACATTTTAATTCCTTTTAAAGTTTAGTATAATTTATTAAAGTTGAAGAATTTGTATACTAACAAATGACTAATAAATGAATTAATAATCAAAATTATTTAATCGTGCAAAGTATCTATGGTCAAAATATGTTGTTTAATAAGCTCAATACACCACTAAAAAAAAGGATAAGTATTGATTGTTAAATCTTCAATGATAAAAAATGAAGTTAAATAAATATTTCTACTCACTTCATCGTTTCCTCCTAATCTTTCATTATGACAAACAACTTTCTTGATAAGTATTATTCCCAATAGTAAATTGAATATCATAATTACGTAGAAATTCAACTTGTCAGTTTTGGTAGATTTCTTAATGCTAAGATTGATAATATCATTTTATTTTAAATATCCTTGATGATTTTCTAATTTACTATGATTAAATTTCCAATCCGTATACCAACAATGATAGGTATCATTACAACTACTCACTAAAATAATAATAAATATAATATTACTTTGGATTCAAGAAACAGCATTAAACAAATAAAATTTTAATCTACTACCTTCCGTGTGATTAGTTGACGGAGAGGTAAATCTATCGTCTATTCCAAGAAATTTATTACTAGATTTGACGCGTTGTAATATTTTACAAGTATTGGAGTACGTAATCAATTCTTTAACAAATTTAATTTTCCATAAAGAGTTTAGAATTTTGGAAACTCCCTACAAAAACCCAAGAAAAAATACATTATATGTTAGTTCTGTAAAATTACTAAAATGTAACTAAATATTCATATACACAAAAAATCGTAATACCAATTGTTTCTGACTTCCAGTTGTATAACATAAATTTTCAGCTGAACTTAAATATTATTCTGTAGCAACATGTTTTAATGCTACAATAGAATCATTTTTAATTAAATTTGATTCATCAAAAACAATATCTTCAAATCCTTTAATTAATTCATTAATTGAATTCGCATTTTTCGTTTTATTATAAAATTCTTTCGAAAAATAACTATTCATTGTAAATGATTTATAAAGATAATTCTTTTGTTCTTCTGTATCATTAATTTCAGCATTATAACATAATTTGAGAAAATTTGAAATAAATTTTGTAGTATCACCACCCTTACTTTCGGGAATATATTTTAATGATTGTAATTTTCTTTTATTTGTATTTTTAAATATTGTAAAAGAAATATCTTCTATTAGTACATTACGAAGTTTAGCAATACTATCAATTTCAGTTGGAAGTAAGATATTAGAATCCACTAATGATAAAGCAAACTTCACACGATTGGGTTCAAAATTAAAACCGCTAATTGGTCTATAAATTTTGAAGATCTTTTATCCATTCATCTGGATGAACGTTTCCATTATTTATCGATAATGGGAAAGAAACTTTTCGGTTTTAATTTCTCCCGAAAATCACAATTATAAAAAAAAATACCGGTTTTCAAACAAGATTTTAACGTGATACGAGCCATTTAAATTTTATGGACGGAACTAAGATTAAAAAAAACTAGTTCAAATATAAGCCATAAAATAACGTAACTAAAAAATTTTTCTTGTTTATATATTTATATTATTGTAACAATTTTTATATAGTATTAAACTAGCAGTCACCCGTTGCTTCGCACCGGGACCAATGAGTTTGTTTAAATAGAAAATTTTAGTATTATGTAATACTAAGTAAATTAAAGATGGTTACAGTAATTTTTTGCTTATAATTAGGAATTTAAATATGGGTAATAATTAGCTAATAAATATAATAAAATAATATGTATTAAATTATATTTATAATATTAGAATGATATAAATTATATTTACAATAATATAGTTTATATTAATGATTTGACGTTTGGGTGTAGAATGAAATTTGGATTAATTAAGGAAGATTATAACTAATTTTCACCCTGGGCGTACTCGGATAATCTTTTTTCTTTAGGTCCTTTCACTTCTTTGCACGGCATTCAAGGTACGTTTCTTTCTTTTTTTTTCATTTTTAAGATGCTTCTTGCATTTTGTTTCCTACTACCTTTATTTCGTTTTTTTATGCAATTAAGATATGACCAGCACTATATGGCCGTTTCTTCTTTTCAGTTATTTTTTATTCCATTCTTAATATTTCGTTTCTTACATTTTGTATTTCATTCTTCTTAGGTCTTTCGGTTCTTCTCTGCAACTACTAAGGTATGTTTTTTATTTTTTTTTTTGTTTATTTATTAAATGTAATTTCCGTTCCCTACTAACTTTATTTCTTCTTTTATTTTATGGGTTTGGTTTTACTTGGTCCCCTGTTTGTCTCCTTTCGTCCCTTATCCATTTTTGTTTTCTTTTTGTTTCTTCGTTTCTTTTGCTCTTTTTATTCTTCCCTTCCTTCATTTTTTTCGTTGTTTTTTATTTCTTCTTCGTTCCTTTCGTCTTTTTCATTCCTTCACACTACCCTTCATTCCTTTCATTTTTATTCTATTCCCACTTCATCTTTTCGTTCCTTTACATTATCCTTTCCCACTTCTCTTTACACTATCCTTTGTTCCTTTCATTTTTTTATTCCCCTTTACTCTCTTCATTCTTTTCATTTTTTTTTTTAAAAATTTCCACTTGATATTTTTCGTTCCTTTTGTTTCTTTCATTCCCCCTTTTTCTCCCCCTTCGTTTCTTTTATTCCATTTACTCCCTATTTTTTCATTCACCCTCATTTTTTTTAATTTTTAGAAGTATTTTCGAAAAAGCTTTAATATTATAAAAATACTACAAATATTTTTATTAATTAATTATAAATTTTATAATTCTTTCTTATTATATTAAGTTAATCTTAAACTTATAACCAACTTAGGAAAAATATTTGAATAATTAAATGTATTAGAATCTATTCATTTCATTTATTATTATTCTTTTGGTACTCATTTTACTCGATAAATTATTAATTTAACTAAACCATTTGAATTAAAATCTTTATTCAAAAATCTGATAGTTATTTAGACAATTTCGGATATGGATTTGGTTATAATAATCTATTATTAAATCAACAATTTCTCCAAAAAAAATTGACATTTTTACATATTTTATAATTAATTAATTGATTTTGAAAATCAAACTATTTATCCAGTGTTCAATTTAATTGAAAAAATCTTACTCATCTTTCTATCAATGCTGGTCAATTTTCCTATATCTGATATGTTATATTGATTTTTTTTAAAAAAATAATAATTTTGTAAATTGAAAGAAAAAGAAAATAAAATTTTAAAAATAAATTTGGGGGAAGAAAAAGGATAAAGAAAGAAATAAGTTTTAAAAAAAGGAAAATTTCTGAAAAAAAGGAATCTGAAAAAAAAGGACAATAATCCGGTCCAAAAAAGTGAAAAAAAAATGGATTATTTAATAAAAAAATAATAATTTTTCAGTTTGGAAAAAAAAAGTTAACCCTAAACGGGAAAAGAATGAGAGAAAAAAGAGAAAAAAATTTTTTTTCGGTTTTAAAAAAAAAATCGGACAAAAAAAATTAATAATCAAACGATTAAGGTAAACTGAAATTGGATTGGTTGATTGGAATGCACACGGATCGAATAGTTTTTGACCATAAATTATATTTCAAGTTACACAATTCAAATTATTTATACGGAGACTAATCCAAACGTCAGACAAATTTTTTTAGTTATATAGATTTCAATAATCAATTTTTATCATAATTTTCTAAATAATAATTTAAACGATCATAAAAAAAAACTCATCCCTCGCTAAAATTATGCAACAATGTACCCAAATTTATATTAAAATAAATAAAATATAAGAACATGGAGTCATACTTAACGCGTTAATCGGTTATCAGATGTGAAAATTTCAAAGAATAATTAGTAATAATTATATCTTATATTAATTTGTGAAATATGAAACTATTACATAATTTAATTATGGCAAAAAAATTTATTATTAAGGTTATTTCCTTTAATCTTTTAAACACAATCATATTTTTTAAACAAAAATGCGTCTTACCGCAGTGATTATCCGATGTATTAATATTACACAAATTCGTCATGTATCACACCGTAATAAAATATTTGGGCTACGTTCTAACAACTTTTCGTGCCACGTGAATCTAATTTTATAATTTATACAAAATTATAATAAAATTCCAATAAAATATATATACTTTTTTATGCCAATCAACATTACATTTAATAAATTTATAAATAGGCTTTTATTTTAAAACATTGTATTAAGTAAATACAACTTTATTATTATTTATGTCGTAACAATTTTTCCCATATTATTATACTGTAGATGAACTTAAAAGAATTTTAGATATCATCCCATGAATTATTTTTTTTTATGATCCATTACGTATAATTTAACCAATAAAAAGAATTTATGCCGAATTTTTTCTGCATTTGACATTTCCATATTATAGTACACCCTAAAACACAACACCAAGAATTTTGAGAAAAAGCAACTATATTAGTACAGATGGTTCCTAGCCAATTTTAATTATTTCTGTTAATGATTTTCATTAGTAATAATATTAACATTTGGTTAATCCTCTAGCATAGCATTAAGTATGGTTGGTCTATATTTGGAATTTGAAAATTAACCTTATTCTAATCTTTATTTCCTTATTATTGTATAATTTTTCTTATTTAAATGTTTAAAAAATTTCTTCTTTTCATAAAATACTAAGATGTGATCTACTCAAAAAAGAAAAAAAAAAAGAGAAAAAAATTTTTTTTACCAATGAAATATTTATTTATTATCATAAAAAAAAAATTTTTTTGATTTAACTGATTCTCCTAAATCATAATAATTCTATTAATAAATGTATTAATAAATATATTTTTCCAATCTCTTATTACGTTTATATATTAAATATTTATGGTGGCTACTCAAAAAAAAAATATGTATATTCAAAATCAACCCATGGAATTAATCTATGAGATTTTTATGTCATTATCAAAAAAGCTTTTATATAATTTAGAAATTATGAAGCTAATGAAGTTTTAATTACTTTAATTTCTTCAACACTGTCTTGAAGATGAATATAAAAAATTTTACATTATTTTATTTTGATTTCGCAAATTGGAGATGGTTTTATACTTATATGCATCATTTTGATAATTTATATTTAATAATTGGATAAGTTAAGAAAAATCAAGATTTATTTAAACTATGAACTAAGAATTTTTTAAAATATTCATTACTCTAACATTAGTGTTTAAATAATTCTGAGTAAAAAAAAAGTAAGAATATATTTTACTTAATAATAATTGGATAACCCATATAAAAAAGAATTATTTAAATAACAAACAGAATTATAAAACCAACATAATATTAAGAATTATTTTTATGTATTTCTTTCAATAATTCCTCTAATTTATCTAATTTTCCATCATGAGATTTTAATTTCTCCAATAATTCCCCATTGCGAATTTTTAATTCCTCATTATCAATTTTTAATTTCTCCATTATTACCTTATTGTCAATAGGATCATGTTTAATTTTAAGTTCAACTAATAAATTTTTCCGCATCTCTGTGAGTTCCTGTTCCTTAGTATCCCATTCACCCTTTTCAATCAATCTTTCAATTTCTACTCGAGTCTTATCAACATCGGCATAATAATATCTTGAAAAATAAATTTGAATAATTATTAATAAAATCATAACATTAAATTTTTTTTTAAAAAGTAAAATTACATACATTACTTCAGGAAACCATGTATGCCAACGTCTTTGATTTGGTAATAGGTAAAATAACTCAATCTCAGCCAAAATCTTTAAAAATAAAATCGAGATATATTAATATATTTACAGAAATGGAATGATTAATGATAATATTATTTACCTCTGCCTTCTGCATCAAATATGAGACTCTATTATTATCTTCTTCAATTGCTATATTGAGTAATCCAATTAACAAGTTCATAAGATATACAACAACTAAAAGGGAAAATAAAACAATCAATACTGCAATTGATGAATTTTCTGTATATGTCCAATTGGATAATGCGCTTGAATCACCTATTGTTAAGAAGAATTGCTTAAAAATATTAGAAAATATTTATGTATATTTACATAATTATGAAAATTTAAATATACCTATTAAAAATAAATATATAGCAAAAAGGGAAGTTTTAACATCTATAAACATGTTTGTATTTCCATCAGGAATTTGAATCATAAGTGGATTGGAATTTATATTTCCATTATTATCAATTTGACTATAACTAGGAGCTAAATTCCAAGGATTATTTGGATCATCATTACTATTTGTATTATATTGATCAAGTGAAAATTCAGATTTTGGTGATAATAAAATATAAAATGCATGTGCAAAACTTATTATAATAATGAATAAGACTAATAAAAAAGAAAAAATCTTTTTTCCAACACTAATAATTATTGCAAAATATACACCAAAATATTCAAATGCTCTAAAAAATAACAAAAATTTTATATCCAAAAATAAGCATGAAAAAGAAAGCAATTGAATTAGATACTTATTATTGTTCTTATCATTTGTTTGAAGCCAATAAATAGAAGTGTAAATTGAAAGGACATAAGCAATTATATCTACATTATTATAATATTATATAATTAATTTTATTTTCTTAAAATATTGTAAAATAATTAAATTAAACATTTATATTTACCAAAAATATTCCAAAAATTCTTGAACCACTCAGTAATTTTATAAAAAAATTGACGAATTTCTAAAATCAGATGAATAAATCCAAGTATAATCGAAACAATAAAAAGTTGTTGTCTAACTTCTTCATTAATATATTTCTGAGAAATTGTTGCAGCAGTAGTAAAGCATCCAAGCAAAGCCATAAATAAAATCCAAATCATTGCATAATAATATTTTCCATAAGCATTCCATTTAAAATTAATTAATGCTTCTCCATTCCATGTTTTGTAAATATTTCTATTTATTGTTTCAGTAAATGGACTAGGTTGAGGTTTAATTAATTCTAAAAACCAATTATAATCTCTTGAATAATTAACAAAATTAATATAAGGAATCATAAAAGTAATTGTTGGTGTTGTTGTTATATATTTTTTAAAAATTTTACGTTCAATGTAGAAATAAGTAAGAGAAAATATTTCTTCTCTATAAATATTATTAATAAAATTGTATTTTGATAAAATATAAAATGTAGCTAAATAAAGGGGTAAAGTTATAACAAATATAATTATCAATATAATACGCAATAATTTTAACAATAATGAATAATAAGATTTGTAATAACCAAATTTATAACTGTATTTTGTCCATAAAAGAGATTTCGATAAATTAGCTATTTGAGGAGATTTAAAAAAAGAATAAAGATGGAAATTTTTATTTTGATGCTCTATACTATAAAAAGGAGAATCTATGATCATATTCATTTCTGATGAATATTTTAGAATATATTCTGGATAATATTCATCTAGTAATGGCATTGCAGAAGTGATAATGCTTAAAAATGACTTATTGTTCATTAAATCCTCTTTAAAATAAGTCATACATTTTTTATAAATATCATCAATTAATTCTAACTTATGTTCTATAATTGCAAATTTTAATAATTCAACTCCATATTTCAAAAGAATTAACTTATTATTTTTTACATCTGAAATCCATCCATCTAGTGATCTAAAACTATCATAATTTGGTGATGGTAAAGTAGATTTTGAAAACATTTTTTTGTAATATTGAAGTATTTTCATATCTTTTTTTCTATTAAAAGTTAATTCCATAGAATAAAAATAGTTTAAAAAAATATGTTTGTCATTATCATTAGATTTGTTATTTTCATTAAAAGTATAAATAAGAATTCCAAATGTTGTCAATATAACAATATCATCATTATTAAATAATGAGCTTGCAACTAATTTATGATCAATTGTGACATATATGATATTCTTTTTGTTATAATCTGGATAAAAAAAAGAAAGAAAACTTTCAATTCTCGTGCTAATTAATTTTCCTTTTTTGAAAACTTCCAGTTTAATTTCACCGTCACCAATATGTATATTCCATTTAATTAAATTTCCAGTTAATTCAGTTGAATATCCAAAACTATAATCATTTATGGCTTTTTGAAATAAAGTAGACATAGTATCCATACTATATATATTAAATAGATGAAAATTTAAGTATTCATCACATTCAACAATTTTATTATTTTCTTTGTTTAATTCATCAGAATTTGAAAAGTTCGTCTTTGGCATCTTTTCGTCAAATTTAGATTTCCAAACACATCCATTTCGAATTCCAAACACAAACTTTGTTTGATCATCAGTTGATTCATCAGTTGGTTCATCAGTTGGTTCATCAGTTGGTTCATCAGTTGGTTCATCAGTCGGTTTATCAATTGATTTATCAAATAAAGTGTAATTAAACCTAGTTTTGTATTTATTGTTCCAGCAATGTTTGATTTCTTTATCTGGGGTATAATAGAATAAAGAAGGTAAAAGAAATAAACCAGTATGATTCATAAAATTATATAGTTGAATATCTAAATAAAAAATAATGATTTAATATTAGTAATAATTAAAGTATAAATAAAATTTTTTAAAAATGGTTACCATCATTTATATCCAAAGAAGCAATAGTAATTTTCAATTCGATTAAATAAACGATGATTTTATCATTGATTTTTAGAAAAATAAAATTTTCATCATTACTGAATATTCCGATGTTTTCTGTTTCAAGCTAAAAAAAATAAATAGTATTTATTTATTTAATTATAATTTAATATTGATTAGAAAATAAATTTTATAATATTTATTACCTTATTCTTATCCTCATTATTACCAAATATTTTTACGCCTCTTTCAGTATTAATATTCCATTCATAAATGTAATCATTTGAATACAGGTAAACTTTTTCATATTTTGATATACTAATTATTTCATAATCTTTGGGTATCCTGTATAATCTCTTACATTCCCATTTGTTATTTTTAGTTTGTGTGGAATAAATCCAAATAAAATTAAGTTGTCCAAAATAACGAACGGAATATTCATTATATAAAATAAATTCACCTTTTAAATTAAAGGTACAATACTTTACAGAACCAGATTTATCAAAACTTAATGCAATTTTTTTATCTTTATTATTCATATCGATTACTAAAAAAATATTAAAATAAATATCAATTACCATAATTTAATAATTACATAATCAAATAATTTTACTTACCATAAATATTTTCACCATAAGATTTCTTAAAATTATAAACGTTAATAAGACAATTAATATAAGCAAGTTTCTTATCATCAGAAACGCATAAATTTTTGATTGTATATTTATATCCTTGATGAATATAAAGTTCATTATTTTCTTCAACTTCAACAGTTTGATGAAATTTAAGTTGAGCCTTATCTATATCTTCAATATTCCAACCGACAATTGAACGATCTTCTTCACTATAAGTAACAAGGTATTTTTCATTTGGTGATATTTCTAACATAGTAATAGGTTTACCATTATGTCGTTTATCATCGAAGGAAAATGTTTTATCAACACCATTTTCATCAACATTATTTTTATCATCATTTTCAGCATCATTTTTATAAACATCGTCAACTTCAATTTCGATTACTTTACTCATTTGGTAATAGCTTGCTTATAAATATATAAATTTATTTCCAAAGAAATTATTTTTTTTTTATATCGTCCATTTGCGATTATATACTTTTTTTCATTTGAAACACGTGTAAATATGCATGTTTGTACGTACATAAAAAAAGAATTTTTTTTTATTGTGAAAAGCTAATTAAGATTTTTTATTGAAACACATGTCAAATATTCATGGCCGTAGGTAAAATTTCGCCTCCTGCATAAAAAAAATCTATTTTTTTTATTATGAAAAGTTAATTGAGATTTTTTATTTGAAACACAAATTAAATATGTATGTCTGTACGTAAAATTTCGCCTCTGCCCTCTTGCATAAAAAAAAAAAAAATTTTATTGTGAAAAGTTAATTGAGCCTTTTTTATTTTGAAACACATATATAGATATGCATGTCTGTACGTAAAACTTCGCCTCTGCCCTCTTGCATAAAAAAAAAAAAAATTTTATTGTGAAAAGTTAATTGAGCCTTTTTTATTTTGAAACACATATATAGATATGCATGTCTGTACGTAAAACTTCGCCTCTGCCCTCTTGCATAAAAAAAAAAAAAATTTTTTTGTGAAAAGTTAATTGAGCCTTTTTTATTTTGAAACACATATATAGATATGCATGTCCTGTCTCTTATACACATCTAGATGTGTATAAGAGACAGCTTCTAAATAGTTCCATATAATTATAAATAGGAATAATAAGGCGAAACAAAAAAAATTGGTTCTCATATCCTGGACCGTTTGTATCACCGGATTGACCAGATGGATCATCGGATATCCGGTGATATTTTTTTTTTTCTAACAGCTTTTTAAACTAATTTTTTTTTAAATAATATAAGATGACAAAGGGCAAAAGACCAAAAAAGGTTAGTTTTTTTCTAATTGGGTTTTTTTTTATTTTTATTGATTAGTTTCTTTTAATATAGGGTTACAACGGCATTACAGACTGCGAATTTCAATAATATTTTTTACTTTTGGAATGTCATTTACTTCCTTCTGACTAGAAATTTGGACTTCGGACTTGAATGACCAGCTTGGATTCTTGGATTTCGAATGGTAAGTATTGGTTTTCCTTGTTCTTTCGTTTTGGGACGTTACTAACGTTCCATTTGTATTTTTTCTTTAGGGACGCCTTCTCCTTGGCCTAGGACTGACTTGGACAACTTGGACAACTTCAGTTGTTTTTGAACAGGGAATGTTACTAAACGTGCTCTTCACTTCTTTTCTTTAGGGACGCCTTCCTGGACCTGAATTGCGAAAGGTAAGTTAAAGATAGTTATTTTTTTGTTTAAGGAGTCATGCTCCTTCTGCTGCTTTATTTGGGAGACACCTTCCTGGACCTGGATTTCGGCCTGGGCTATGAAAGGTAGAGTGGGTGGGAAACTTTTTTTTTTTGTCTCTGGAACGTTCTTTAGGGAACGCCCTCTTGGACTTGAATTTCAGCCTGGATTGTGCTATGTAGGTTAGTTAGGGGCGTGTTTTTTTTTTTTTTTTTTGTCTTCGGAACGTCACTAAAGTTCCTTTGCTTTTTTTCTTTAGAGAATACCTTCCTGGCCGGGATTTTGCTTGGACTATGAAAGGTATATTGGGAATAGGTAAATGTCACTTTTTTTTGTCTCAGTTGGAAATGTTACATGTTACTAACATTCCTTATACTTCTTTTTTTTTATCACATGTTTCTGTAATTCCCGAGGGCGCAGCGGGTTTTTTTCCAACTGCCGCAATGATTAATAATACATCACCAGACCGACAAATCTTAACCATTATTAGCATTCCATGATAATATAAGTTTGGGAGAGAGAAATTTTATTTATCCATTCCACAACATCCACACTATCAGAAAGGTTATTTTCTGATGCAGGAATTTTGCTTTCAGTAATAAGATCTAGGATGAACTCTGAACTTTTTTAACGTGTATAATGTTTTTTAAAAAATGCAATTAAAGTTAATAGTATTTATGGATAATTATTTATATCTAAATTAATATTGTATAATTTTATTAAAAATAAATTATTATTTTTATTATATTATTATTTTATTATTATTGTAAAATCCTAAAACTAATAATCTCAAAAATTCCTATTTTTTAAAAAAAAGAAGCAAGAGTTCCCAAATAAAAAAAAATAAAATAAAATAAATAAAATACTCCTTCCCTTACAATTCAAATCCAAGCCAAAATCCAGATTCAGGAAAGCATTCTTAAGAAAAAAAGAAAGAGGAACATTAATGATGTTCCCAATGGCAAAAAGAATGAAAATCCCTGTCTCCCAACTTACCTTCATAACCTAAGCCGAAATCCAGGCGTCCCCTAAAGTGAAAAAGAGGAAGGAACGTTAATGAGTTCCCAATGACAAAAACAACAAAAGTCCAACTAACCTTTATAGCCTAAGCCAAAATCTAGGTCCAGGTTGGCATTCCCTAAGAAAAAAAAGAAAAAGGAACATTAATGATGTTCCAATGAAACCGAAATGACCCCACTCCAACTTACCTTTAATAATCCAAAACCGAAATTCAAGTCCAAGAGGGCGTTCCCTAAAGAAAAGAAGAAAAAGGAACGTTAATGATGTTCCCAAAGACAAAAAAACGCTAAAATACCCTCCCCAACTTACCTTTATAGCCCAAGCCGAATCCAGGACCAGGAAGGTCGTTTCCTAAAGAAAAGAAGTAAAAGGAACGTTAATGATGTTCCCCTCAATCATTTGAAAACAAGTTCAATATCATACTCAATATTGAAAAATGGTTTACGGCCTGTTGTTAATTCCCACATAACCATACCTAGACTATATATGTCAGACTCTTTCGAAAATACACCACCTTGAAATATTTCTGGTGCGAACATAAGGTATTTCTCCATATATTTCATTATTCGACGAATTATCTGCTGGTTGCGATAATTCTAGATCTCCAATTACCCACTTTTTGTGATTATTTTTTAATGATAATATAATTCCACTATAAAATCTCAATGTATAAAATTTTCATGATGAATAGTCTTAAGTCTAGAATAAATAATATTAAATAATTTAATATTATTTCACATAAATAAGATTGATAGAAATATTAATAATAATATATACCCATCTGAAATTTGACATAAAATAGCTAATTTGTGATCCATTTAATATTTATAAAATTTTTTTTTTAAATAACTATGTAAATTTCCACCGCTCGTATATTCTATTATTAACATATAATCTTTTTTCACGGGGTCTTGCGTAATACCATAATAAAAACTGTATCATAACATCGATGAAGTGATTTCACCTAAAAAAAAATCATAAATCCAATAATTAGTTTAATGTGATTACGTAAATATTATAAAATAAAAAATAATAATTACTTCATTTAAAAATTTAAAAAGTATTTGCTAATATCCTGCGAAAGAAATGCGTAGAGCTAATAGTAAATGTGTCGATTTCCCCTGGCCTATATATATAACTCGCTAATATTCGGGGAGATAAACAAAAATTTATCCCAAAATAGTCATCATTTTGCACTGGGCGATAACTCGGGTCCTACGCATGTGACTATGGCTAACTTATTCGGATTAGATCAGCGTATGAAATTTTTTCGGTTTATTTACTGAAGAAATTGCCAAGAATTTAAGTCAGAAATTTTTTTATACGAACAATTTTTAGTGTGATTTGAAGAAATTATAAATAATTAAACGAAATTTTAATCGGAAATTTTTTTCTATTTTTTCCAACCGATCTAAATTTTTTCGGTTCCCCCTTCTTTATCTTTACAAATAGTTTCTCTCTTTTTTTTCAAATTTTCTCTTTCTCTTTCGAAACACCTTTTTTTTTTCCTTTTTTTTTCTTTTTTAAAAAATTCTTCGGTTTTTTTCCTCTTTCTTTCTTTTTTGTTTTTTTTTTCATTCTTTTCCCATTTAAATTATTATTATTAAATAATCCTATT